CAAAAAGTTCGTTCAGTCGTTGCATAGAATCGATGTTTGCTCTTCACGAAATTGCACAGGAAACGGTGAAAGCACAATAATTTAATAAACGGCCATGACCAGCCAGCACACTCCGCATAACATGTGAAAATTGTTTTTTCTTTCGGTAAAATTAGTATGAACCCGTGGTCAGCGATTAAAGAATCATAGAATTATAATTGTAGTTAGTAAAAACGGGTGCATGTTCACCAAAGGGTCACAGAATTCTTGTGTCACGCGCCGCCGTTTAAATGAAGACAATGGCAGGTTTCAAAAGTAGTCACACCTCGGAGAGGTGTTAAATTTGCCACAACCCAAGTGTTAACTAGCACACAATTCCATAATACATATATGTCCAAGGTCCAAGTAGTCTGGTTGAAACGTGCGTTCCCATTGGTCGACAGAATCAACAGTTTATAGGAGGATTTAGCTGAGGGCCTGTACTTCATTACAAAGCTGTTGAAATACCACGTTATTCCTAATCGGCAAAAGGAATAAAGTGCATGTTGAGTGATAAGTCCGCATATTTTTTGGTACAGCATCATTCCAATCTTAACCAACCATGTACACATCATTTCATAACCATGGTAAATATTTGATTTTACTGTGATAAAACACAATTGAACGTACGTTGTTATATTATAAGCAAACGTTACAAGCCTTTGTATTACTCCTCGCATAGGGCTTTTTTGCTACTAGCAAACGATACATTTTACCACTCGCATATGCCGTTTTTACCACTAGCATATGGCATATTTTGCTACTTGCGACTAGCAACTTGGTACTCGCATACGGCACTATTTCTAGGTCGTACATACCTCGGTTTTTTGTTCAGATTGTTAAAATAGCCACAAATACTCACAGTTCACAAAAAATAAAAATAAAATTGTTTTTGTAGGATAAGAACCTATTTGAGGTGAAACTCTAAAATTAAGAAATAATTTTTTTATTTGACATTGAATTTTGATGTTGTTTCTTGCATAATTCAGAATCAGAATACCTTAACATGTGTAAAATAACTAACCTTGGTGTTCACCCTAGAACAGATTTCACTTTACAACCATTTATATAAATTTTCGTTGGTGTTTAGTTTGAACAAGTTTCACTTGAAACGTAACGTCACACCATAAGAGTGTCATATGTAACTTCAGGAAATTAAGGCGTGTAATAAAGTGGAACATGGAATAAATCTTGTGTTGTTTACTCTTGTTTTTTCACTCTACAAAGGTAATTTTGTTTTTGTTTCAGGGAAGTGTTAAAAGATCAAGCGTTGTGTTATGTCACTGGTATCCAGTGGATTCTTCACTATTATTACAACGGTGTTCAGTCATGGGGCTGGTATTATCCTCATCACTACGCCCCGTTCATGTCCGATGTATGCGGTTTTAGTGATTGTGAATTAAAATACGACATCGGTAGACCTTTCAAACCATTTGAACAATTACTAGCAGTACTGCCGGCAGCCAGTGGAGAACTTCTACCCAAACCATTCCAGGTATGGTATCAGTAGGGCTGCACAAACTAAATTACCCAGCATGCAAATACAGTCAACATAGAAAATCAGAGATAGTGCTATCCTAGGCATAAGTATGATTACAGTGAAAACCACCAGGATTTTGTTATTGAGATTTCCTTGGATATTGTAAGATTAGAACAACTGATTACCAACATTGCTTTAAAATATTGTCGATTATGTTGGCTAGGTTGATTATGTCTACAGTCTTGACATATTCACACATAAAGTAAATATGTCTAGACAAAGTCTGCAGGTACTCAATAATACTTTGAAAATATTTTGAAACAAAGTAGGTAATCAGTTAATATTATGTTATGCGTGAAATCAAAAGTAAGAACAGGACAAACAAAAGTTGTAGTGGCATCAAAACATCGCATGGGATCCAACAAACATGAAAGTATTTTGGGGATATTTCTATATTTAATAATGTGCTGTACACATTTGATGATGGTCAATTTTACTAGAGTAAGTGTATCTTAACATCATATTTCTCTCTGAAATTTTGAACTATAAAAAATGAAATTTAATTCCAAAGTCAAATCATTCAATTTTTGCAGCAGACGTTCAGTCTGCGCCATTTATGCATTACGAAAGATATTGCAGTGGTTATATTAATTGGTAAATTATTGATTTGAGCTAATGTAACAAGAATAAAAGTTTACAATGGAGACAACTACAACACGGACAGACATTTTTCCTATTACACTTTTCACTTCATCTTTGATTCTGGTAAAGTAACTAATATATACCTTTATCTTGTTTGCAGTCTTTAATGATCATGGACAATTCACCCATTATAGAATACTATCCAGTAGACTTTGATACAGACCTCAATGGTAAACAACAGGACTGGGAAGCTGTAGTCTTAATACCATTTATAGATGAGGTAAGACTACATTGTAAACAGTTGATATTGACAACATTTTTTGTCGGGTTTATGTTAGGTTGAAAGGTCGCATGCTATGGAAGTGTGACTCGGCTGCTGATCCCAAAAGTTACCCTGTGATTCATATACAATTTTGGAGACCATTTTTTTTACAGTCTTCAAAGATGTTTTATCAGATTTGGTTGATACCAGTAAAGTGCATAAAATAGCCATAAAGCAAATATACTAGTCATGCAATCCTGTTATATAGGCTGTTGTTGTACTGTGGTGTTTCCGGTATATGTATTGCCAAACAGCCTGTGAATGTCTGATAACAAATATAGCTTACTGGTCATCACTAGCGCACAGCAATGTTGCCTGCAAGTTATTGTATTAACGGCAACACGTACATGTATATTTAATAATAGCGCACAATGCCGTTATTTTATCTTTGGGTGGGAACGGCCGATTCTTGCCAACCATTCATTTCACGCTCATATGCACATAAAATGTAAACAAGTGTGACACCCTATGATCATGGTTTATGTGATACTGAATACTGTTTGCACTAACAATGTAAAAATATCTGACGAGAATGCTTTGAGCTGTCATGAGACACAGTTTTTGAAAAGAAAAAAAAAAATATTAGGTCATATATTGTTTTGTATCAAAATTTTGATTTTAATTTTGCTACAGACCATATTAGATTAACTTTTGTCTTTGTGTTCTTGTAGAAATGCTTACTAGATGCCATGGCACCATTGAACAATATTCTGACGGACGAAGAAAAACGACGTAATTCGCACGGGCCTCATTTATTGTATACTTACGATAAGGAGTTGTCTTTTTGTTATCCGTCCTCGTTACCAGGTGTATTTACTGATATAAACTGTAGTCACGCAAAGTAAGTTTGTTTTGTCATCATTCATTCACTGGTTCTTTCCCAGAACTAATCATAATTTGCATAACAATGGGATTAATAAGATAAGGGTATGCAACTTTCATAATCATATATGCGATGTAGATTTTATAAGAAGCAAACTCTCATGATTTGCAAATGTTTGAAAGCATTTCCATTTCATCAATTGTTCTATAAATATGAAAAGCTTCTTAAATAAACTCAAATACTACCAAAAATTGTTTGAGATGAACATGATTCAATTTATGATTTCTAGAATGGTATGTCTTTCTCGTGATTTTGTAATAATCCGCATTCATTGTATCCTGTCCTGTTCTATTTGGGTCTCGTGCTTCATATGCAACAAGTGAAAAGTACATCTTTGTTTACACAAAATTTAAACATTTGCTTCGACTGACGACTGATAACGTGTGCTTTGTGACGACTGATAACGTGTGCTTTGTGACAACTGATAACGTGTGCTTTGTGACAACTGATAATGTGTGCTTTGTGACAACTGATAACGTGTGCTTTAAGACGACTGATAATGTGTGCTTTGTGACGACTGATAATGTGTGCTTCGTGACGACTGATAACGTGTGCTTTGTGACGACTGATAACATGTGCTTTGTGACGACTGATAAGGTGTGCTTTGTGACGACTGATAATTTAATCACAATCCATTGTATTCATTATTATAGTGATTACATTGCCCTATTATGTATCTATAAATAATATGACCGTATTCTGTGTTTCACAGAGCAGAACACTGCATTCACTGTGTAGATCAATCACCATATTTGTTACTGTCATTATTTTGATTAAACATTTTTTTTTTTTTTTTTATAATTTCTTTGTTAATTTTGGAGCAAATGGACAAAATTTTTCATCTTACTTGGCTGGTTCCCACCTCAAGTGTCATGGCGCACCTTGGCACAAGAGGCCGGTAACTAGTAATGGTTACAGCATTCTGATTGGTCCAGTTCTCATTCTTTTCCTTTGGTTACCTGACGTCACAAAACACAAACAAAATAACCTGATCACATGATTTTGTCAGATCATTTCTTTGAAAAAATTACCCTGGTTTTAAAAATACAATTACCATGACTCGAGCCACTTCAAAACGTGTGTCATGAGCGTGATTAATTGGCGATGTGAATCACACAAATATGCAAATGCACGACAAGGATACTTTAAATGTATGTAACAGATTTACCAAAAGTGTATTTTACAGCACGAGAGTTTATTCTTCAATATTGGCAATTAGAACAACTATGTTCCCTGTGGCATCTAATTTATATGGTCCATTGATGGGAATGTGACGATCTTTTTTTTTTCTAGGTGTGAGGAAGTACCGCTAGATGCATTCCGTATTGATATTAGTAAAATGAGGAAAGGTTTGTTAGTTGGTACAAAGCAAGGAGTCTTTTATCCAGGATTTCCCACAATGAGGCATGTACCACATAAAGTGAGTATAGATCACCTCTTGTATATCTGAATTCTTTAACATTTACTGTGATAATTGGTCACAATCCATTCAACTAAAATTTACCATGTGATGGCTGGTATGGTCACTAAAATCCATGCTATGTCTGATAAACCATGTTTCGAATGTGCAAAATGTGTTGCATAGTCTCAACCATTAACACAAATAACGTAATTTTAATAATTTTTATTTGTTTTGTGATGTTTTATTAAGTGACTGCTTCTGAATAGTTTATATTCTCTATTTTTGGTTTGCCCATAATGAAGTGAAGGGAACTTGACAAAATGTCTCATTGTCGTTGTCTGTGCCAGTGTCAGCTTCAACACTGTTGTTTCTGTGTTGCTGTATACATTTGCCCAATTTAAACCTGATTTTGAATTTCTTTAAATTGTTTCTTTTAAAGAGTCAACTTATATATATAGTTAATCCATATTCATAGATGGCCTTCCCCACTCTTTGCTATGATCTTCCCTATAGTCAGTCTTCTATATTATGCTGTGATCTGTCCCACCTGTGTAATGATACCCCATCCTATGCTATGATCCACCGCCCTTACATATATAAGGCAAACCATGTGTAGTTTATTTAACTGTTTGTTTTTTGCAGGCCCAGTTGAAAAAAGAAGGTGTGAAAGTTTTTCAAATGAATAGTCGTGGTGACAATATGATGTTGTATATCATGAATGACTCTGAGCCGGTAAGCAATGATAATACGTGATGTCTCAGCTATACAACACAATAGCTGTCACACAGTCGTTATTCATTACATTTTGGCAAAAATATCTTTAGAAAAATTAATATATCAGTACATTGGGATACTAGACGAAATTGTAATCTGAAAACTAGGTGTATGAGTAATACTACTAGATTTCAAATTCATTGAGAACCACTACCATAAAATTTCTAAAATTCTGATCATTTTTGAATAAATATTTTTAAAACATTTGAGTTTTTTAGCTCTGCTGTTGACTTTGTCGAGCGGAGCTTATCATATGAGTGATTGTCCGTTGTCGTCCATGTCAATGTTTTACTTTTTCGACTTCTTCTTGAAAACTACAAGCCTGAATGCTTTGATACTTGGTGTATATGTACCTTGGGTAGACCTCTCTCAGATTTGTTCATTTCATGATCATATCTTCAATTCTCTAATTTTAATAAATATTTTTGTCATTTTTGGTTAAAAGTGATATTTTTGACTTTTTGTTAAAAACCGCAAGTCCAATTGCTTTGATATTACATATATAGGTACTACATGTGGACTTCTCTCGGATTTGTTCATTTTGTATTGATATCTTTAATTCTCTAATTTTGGTGAATATTTTTGTCATTTTTGGTAAAAAGTGATATTTTCGACTTCTTGTTAAAAACCGCAAGTCCAATTGCTTTGATATTACATATATAGGTACTACATGTGGACCTCTCTCAGATTTGTTCATTTTGTAATGATATCTTCTGTTCTTTGAAATATACATTGCTAACAGCAAAGCTATCTCAGCCGAGAGGCTGCTTGTTAGAGTACAAAATGTTGAAATTCTGAACTTGTTGAAGTAAAAATCCATTATTATAAAAATATTAGATGTGCATCATTTGTTTTCATCAAAACAAAATCACCGGCGATGTTTTATGGCCAAAAAAAAAAGGAAAAACAGAATACGAATATGATTGAATCACTGTAAAAAAGACCTGCTGAGTGTGAAAATGGATGAAATGTTATTATGTGTTCAGTCGAATGAAGCCAATAATTAGGTGTCCAAATTCTTAGAGTTGACAACATTTTATAGTGTTTACAGTAGTTCAATATCAAACTTTTGCTCCTGCTATAGCTTAATTGGTTTATGATTTTGTTGCCAATATTATTTCAACATAATTAAATGAAAAATATACTAAACAAGATTGTCTTTGTCTTTTTACAGGAAATTGAAAAAGTTGCAAATGAATTGCTCGGAAAAACCATATTTGCTGGGTGGCCACATTTGCAGGAAGTACGGGTTGTTTCAGTAACAGATGATCAGTTCAGGTGGGTTTAGTCTGCTCACATGGGATGACTATTGAACAATATGTACACTGCTTTCTTTTTTGAGAGACAGGAAAAATTGTAGACATGAACTTTTTATTGGAATATTCAACAAATAGACAGCAAATCTTCTTGAATGCTGTCAAATTATAATTTTCTGAGAATTCATAGCTGTGGAAATGCCTTACCGTATCTCAAATGAGGTTATTATAACAATTATAGGTCATGCTGTTTGTGTTGAGTTGTGTATTTTTACAGAAGTTTAAACCAAATGAAAATTCAAATGTTGTATCTCTTCTTAACATTTTCATTATTGTGCATGAATGTCATTAAATACCAAATAATTCAGGTCACCTTAGAATGTTTTGAGAAAATAGTCTGAAATGTAATGGAAGCATGGCAAAATTTGCATTTGATGTTTAGCATTTAACTCTGTGTCATTCCACAAGGGTTGTTTTTGACAACAAACCAATATGTTGTCGAATTGGTGTTTGTGTCACAATTTAATCCAACTGTCTAGTGTCAAAAGATTTTAGACGAAAATAGTCTAATTTTGGTTAGTCTGTTGGCTTCAAAATTAGGGTTCATTTTTCAGAAATATTGAAGAATATGAGAAAAAAGTGCAGAATAATTTGAGTGAGAAATTCTGGTGGTGAAAAGGTTACAGTTAAACTCTTATACATTAGAAGTCTTGTTTTGCCTGTACATGTAGGTATGAACTGAAGGAAAGTAAAAGTAAGAATCCTGCTCATAATGGTACAAGTGAGATAATATGCTATGAACAATCAGACAGAGAGGCTGCTAGATGGGTAAAAGAAGTACAGTCTATTACGGAACAGTAAGTCTGTTATCAAATAATAGTTTAATCATGTCTAGTGCATTTTTTGTATTGCACTTGTGCTTATGTAATTGGGTGTATGTGCAACCTTATAGCGCATGTTTCAAATGAATGTCACAAAAGCATCAGGACTTCTTTGTGAGGATGTTTGATTTTGTGTGTATTAATTAACTTTTTGAAGTGGCAAAGTCAACTTTTGTTGCCCGCATAATTTTTTTCTGTAGACCTGTAGACAATAGTTAATTATATGCATTTGTTTCAAGATTATTCTCACTTCAATTATTCCATCCAAGACACATTGTCAAAGGACTGTTATTGACTATTTGACCTTATTCTCACTTCAATTATTCCATCCAAGACACATTGTCAAAGGACTGTTATTGACTATTTGACCTTATTCTCACTTCAATTATTCCATCCAAGACACATTGTCAAAGGACTGTTATTGACTATTTGACCTTTGATGCATTTTAAAATATTTTTTTGGTCGAAACAACAAATTAGTGTCTTTTGAAATGCACACAAAATCATTGGCACCTTTTTGAGGTGGTTTCTTGTATAATTTAAATATTCTTTAATTAGATATGCAGTATATGTATGATTTGTGGTTTACTCTTCTAAGAACAGAATCTTTATCTCATTGTAATTTTAATTTTTGTGTTTAATTTATTCTGTAGTTATCGTGGTAGAAAAGGCGTAGAGATTGGTCAGACGTTTGTAATAGTGTATGCTACACCAATGGCTGGTAGGAGGCAAGTATAATATCTGGCTAGTTGACAAGTTTAGTTGGTTGCTTTATTATTCAACAGATTTCATTCTTGACGTGGATGTGATTTTGTGATCTTTTTTTCTTATAAGATAGTTGTCTGCTATTTGAGGGCATTCACAGGCATTCAACCTGTTGAATAAAAGCAAAAAAATAATCATGTTAATTTAGTTATTACCTTTTGTGCATGTTTTACCCAGTTTATATGTTTTTGGATAAAAACTGCAAAAATGGTGTGTTTCTGAATTTCCATTGGAAGCATTATTTAATAACAAAAAATAGTATTTGTCAGAATTTCCTAATAGTTCATAAACAACCAAGAGTATCTAATTCTATAACTATATATATTTTCACCACAATGAAATTTTGAAACCTTTTTGCCATGGAAACCGTAATGTGTGCTTACTGTATAAATTTAAATCTATTAATTAAAAGCCAAGGAAATTTGGTGATAGTATTAATTGCAACTAATTACCTAAAATTCATTGATTTTATTCTTCTCAGAAGGTCTACAATGTACATACAAATGTCCTGCTTCATCTCTGTGGGAATAAAACAAAATACTTTTCTCATTCCGGTATTTTATGAACATTTGTAATTTTTCAAACCAACTTGCTGAATTTGGTCTACAAAACCACTGCATATAATTGCGTATTCAAGTGTAGTCTTTGCTTTCTGTGACAGGTATGTGTGTGGTGCAGGTGGCCTTATCACATTAGAAAAACAGTGGGAATCGACTCCCACTACTTTTGCACTTCAAACAACAGTCAAGGTGAGCACAATGTTACTGTTTCTCAAAGTATCATCAAGGAATTTATAATATAAGAGTCTGCCACTTTCATAATCTTGTTGATATGTGATGAAGGTCTTAGAAGACATAAACTCTCACAAAAGCTATCCTATTTTGTGCTTGTCAGTTGAACATAATTCTAACCAATAGCGTCACTGAACAGGGTGAATGCGTGGAAATGTTTCATTATGTAAACAGAAAGGGCAGAGTATTCGCAGCATTCAAAAATGCAAAATGCATGTATTATATGCTTTTCAAATGTGCAAGGACCAAAAAAAGTTTGAAATTAACATGAACCAGTTCTTTCACAAACTCGCTAATGTGCTTGAGGCTTTCTCAAAATGTATGTTTGTCATGTAATTATTTGATTATCTCGAAATTTGCAGGGGATGTATGTTGTTGTGTTTTGATTGTTGTTTAAACCACCATTACTATTTTCCTACAGGATATAGCAGCTTATGATCCGTCCTTCAAACAGTTTAGTAACTTAGAAGATTTATTTCCACCCGAGTCAGAGTGTTTTATGCTTGGCACTCCACACTATGGATGTATGGGAGAGGTGAGTAATTCCTCAGTAAATAAACTGATACTTGCTGGTTTGGTTTAATTACAAAGGTTGTGTTAGTCCATGTTAAGAGTTATATTTATTTATGTTCTGTTCATCCATTGTTGGTACCAATTTGTTTTTGTATAATGTAGAAGCCTACTGGTAAATGAAAATACCAAGAATTTATTCATTTTGAAATAAAGTGTACTCCCAGGCAATATAAGAATATTGACCTAAAAAAGTTGGGGTCACCAGCTTAATTTTCAAGAAAATGATGATTTTATCAATAAATAACTTTTAATATAGGTTCCTGTGATATATTTAGCCAATAACCCGCCAGCAAAGGTGGGTATACCACATGATATTGTACAATTCAAGACATGTATGCACGAGCCACAGGCGGGGGGGGGGGGGGGGGGGTATTGCTATTATATTATATTGTATATTCATTAAAACTAGTAAAAAATGAGTTTAGTTGCATCTAATATAAGATCATGATTATGGCCCTTGAATATGAATATTTATAAAAACAGTATGTAGTTGTACACTGAATGCGCACAAAAATACACATGCAACACAATTCAAATTAAATACAAACTTCTATAATTCCACATTAAAACATAAACTCAAAAATTAGAATAACAAAATATTACCTTCCTGACCTTTTACTGACGACATCAACGTCATTTGAAATACAGGGTTATGTACAATTACAATCGTGTACGTTTTCATTCCGGTTTTGTACAATTTGAACTGTAATCGCCCATTGAATGCACAGTTGTGATATAAACCAGTTTTCTGACTCATCATACTACATTGTACTTGTGACTGTGGATATTTGACGTTCAGCGGTACTTGGTTTGATCAAAGTTGAAGACATGGCAGGATGCGGTGGTGTATCATGTACGGTGGCTGGCTCAGCGACCTCAGTCCCAACATCTGATCTAATTTTTGAGAAAGTTTCTCAAAATACATCACTGTAATGCACAAAATAATGCTGGTGCAGTGGGACAATATCGCCATGATTTAACATAATAAACATTGTCATGTGATTTATTAGCAACTTTCTGAATCATGACATTTGACTGGACGGTGACAATTTTTGTCACAAAAAAAAGTATTTTAACATCATCAACCTTGTTTCAAGCTTGCCTGCATCGATTTCATTCAAACATAGAATTCACTCATAATGGGTTACTGATGCATGTCATTTTATTTCTTGGTTTGTTTTAAAATGGCTGACTGGTGGCTATTTCATTTTTTTATGTGTTTCCCCAATTTCTCGGGTAAACTTACAGTGATTTTGTCTCAGTTTGGTACAATTGTGTCAACCGACTGACTGCCAATTTCATACAAAAAAAATGAATTCTTAAAAACATGTCACCATTTGCTTCTCACATGATGGGTGACTGATTCGCATTGCTTAGTTTCATGATTTTATTCAAAATGGCCAACTGGTTTTACAAATAATTTTTTTTTTATTCTCTTTAGTTGATTTTGGGTTTCAATGTAACATAACGTGGCAGTCATTTCATCCATAAAAACTCGAATTACAAAATATTGACAGATTTGTTTGTTTTTTGCTTTAATTCATAGCAACAGGATTCTATTTCTGTATCTTAAATAAATAAATTAAAGTTTTAAGAGCGTGACATGAAAGTGATGCGCAATTTCTGAATGAGAAAGTTATTCGAACATATCTAATTTTTTTGAACACATTCATATAGCGTTTTT